ACTCTGCTTCCTGGGGTCCTCTCTCACTATTAAACAAGGGGATAGGCGCACACCTAAATTCTCAGAAGTACCCTTGCTTCCTATCCTCAACCGGTCGCTCGTTTTGAGCTCTTGTGGCCATGCCTTGAAAGGCAGCATACATGGCATCCAAAAATCTCTGATTCTGTTGTGCCGGTTGATTAGCAGGCCTACGGCGAGGCGTCATTTCCTTCAACTAAAATAAAACTAGACTATTCAGTGGATTACAGATGTCACACATGTATGTACAATCCTGGGGTTTCTTAACCTAGGGCTCTGACACCACCTTTGTCACGCCCCCCAAGCGGGGTGGGTGACTGGAGCTCGATTAGGGATTAATAAAGCATATTCCCAACCAGGCCCCACACTTGACTGCATTAAAAATGAATAAATTACTACAGAATTCAGGAGCCTCTGACACACATGGCTCCACCCCACAGGACATACAGTATCATACATACATGCTCATGTAAATAATCATTACAATAAACATAAACCACAGTCTAGTAAATCTAAATATTACATAAGATTACATAATTTCTCAAATTCCTTACATTTGTCCAAAGGGATGTCCACGATCCTCACTTGATTCCAACAGCAGCACAACTCAGCTGCTCCGTAGCAATTTTCCAGCTACAGTGCCCCGCTCCTAGAGTCTCCTGGGAGGGGTTTAATACATTTGAAATATAAAACGTGAGCGAAAGGCCCAGTAGGATATAATTTGAAATACACGTTATAAATAAATGAATCATAAGTGTGCGAGGAAATACATAAATGAATAAGTAAATAAAATAAGACATTCAGTCTCAACATAATAGCCGGAACCTCACATCTTTTTTCTCAAAGGAAATATAATTGTAAATAACCGTTTTACATGCTTCAGCAAGTAATTAGTACAAATTACTTACCTAACCAAGTGTCTTGCCTACCCGGACTGAGTTTCGGGTTCTGCCCCTGAGGATGCACTCTCCGCATCCTATCTAGGCTTACAGCAATAGACTCTATTACCAGTTCACAAGATCTCTTTGCTTAAGAAATCATTCATTAACATTTTGAAATCGTTAATACGACCCCACGAACTACTCAAGCCGCGGGCCCTATGACTGGACAAGCCATGAGGTTCCATGACTAAACAAGCCATGGTTTTCAAAGCGTTTTCTTTCACAAATCAATCCCTTTCTTTAAAACATTTTCAAGGCCAAAATCCTTTTTGAAAACAGGCTCACAAGGAAAAAGGGATAGAAATCCTACCTCGCACCATCAAACCTGGGACTAGCGTCGCCTTTTCTGGCTTCCGCTTCCTCAAGCCCTTTCAGTCTGAATCTTCAGCGATCACTGATGCAAGACAACACTTTAGGATTAATTCTCATTCTTAAAGCAATCCAAATCTCAATTTCCAACCAAGATTTCCTATTAGTGTGCCTTAATCCATTTTCATGTTTCAAAATATCATTCCAAGGGTTTTCAATCTCAAATCAATGATTAACAATGCTAATCCATTTATCTCAAGTCCCCAAATGAAGCTAATTTAGGTTCTCTCCGAAAACAGGGGTCAAAACAGTAATTTCAGGCTAAACAGGGTCAAACCCCATGTCAACCGGTCGACCGGTGACAGAGCAGTGCACCACTACCGGTCGACTGGTAGTGTGCACACCGGTCGCCCGGACAGGTCGTCCGGTCAGCCTGCAATCCGGTCAACCGCATAGGTCGACCGGTTTCCATGTGATACGGTCGACCGCACAGGTCGACCGGTGGAATCAGCTGCGCGAGAGAAGCTCGCAGAAATCAGTCTAAAACCTGCAAATCCAGTCTCAAATCGAGATATTTCAAAGGAAAACCACTAGATCTGGGTTCTAGGTCCTAAAACAAGTCCAAAGAACCCAAGATCTCTAATTTCTACTATAGTTTTACTCAAAAACCATGAAAATTCTGTTTCAACCAAAAATAAGTTTTGAAATTCAAAAACTTGAGATTCAAGAGAGGTTCTTTCAGTAATCTTACCTCGAATCCTTCTCTTGACGTTGAAAACTTCTTTAAATATTTTCTTGGTTCAAGATCCGTTTGATTTAGGACACAAATGAGAGAGAGAGAGAGTGAACGGGATAGTGAGAGTGAAGGAGAGAAAGAGAGTGCACGGGAAAGGAAAGAGAAAGGAAAAGAAAAAGGAAAGAGGAAAAGAAAAAAGAAAAAGGAAAAGAAAAGAAAAGGAAAAGGAAAAGAAAATGACATGTGTCAATATTTTAAAAGAACAGTCCAAAAATGCGCCCATACACACTTCTGGTTTAAAATAAATTATTAAGAATAATTTAAATACCTTGGAACTATTTAAACTCACACGTGTCATAAACATTCATTAATTAAACTCAATTAATAATCCAGATTAGGCACATTAATAATCTCAATTACCTTAATTAATCTCAATTAATTCTTCATGGTGTTACACTCTCACATGCAAGGTACGTCTCCAACAATCAACTCCTCACATACTCTAAATACAATCAACTCATTAAGATAGTCAATCTAAAATTCTTTTCTCAAATAACTGTCCAAATTATTCGCTGAAATTTCCTTGCCAAAATCTGATTTCTATAAACAAAAACATTTCATATTCGGAGCAATCAAATAATCAAAATCACTTGTAATCTTATCCATAAACGCCAATTGTCAAATGTACCTGTTTTTAAATTTTTACAACCAATGTCAATAAATTGTCAAATAAAATCCTAACAAAAACGTAAAGAGAAACTCATCCTCTTTTAATAATGTTGTACAAATATATAAATACATATATAGATATAGATAAATAAAACGTTAAACCACTTGTCTTCAGCATAAAACATGCAGTGAAACAATAAAAATACCAAAAGGACTTTAATAATTCGTAATATATATTATCTAAAAAATTAAATTACTAAGAAACAAAGAATAGTACTTTAAGACGCTGAAAAACTTAAAAAAAATCCAACCATTATAAGGTGATGCAAAAATTAAGAATCCATGTTTCTTTTATTTATTTATTTTTTTGCTGCAACCTTTTTTCCCTTCTTTGTTCTAAAATGAGTTAAATGTTTTGAGTGAGCGGAACTAAAAACATCCTCTTTATATAGATGTTTAGATGGAAGGTTGGAATTGTTTTGGGCACTTTTTCACAATTTAAATTTGTTGTTATAATATTTTTTTATAAAAAATTTAAATACAACTTTTTTCTACCATATTTTCTCTTACATAAAATTTACTTTACAACTCCCAACATCCCTATAATAATTTTACCATACTGTTTAATAGAATTAAAGATAAGGGTCTTAAGTTGAAATATTTTGATTGATGGGGTGTGTTATAATTCAGGCAAATACATTAGATGGTAAATAAATACAATATACACAAGTATATTGACGCATGGCCCGTTTGAGAGAGGTAAACAGCTTAATGGGTTAAAATTATTTTTAAATTATTTAGTAAGCAACAAAAGTGTTGCAATAAAGTTTATAATACTTTAATGAAATTATAGTACAAATTTTATAGTCTATTTAAAAGTGTTTTTTAAGGCGTTAGTTTGTGATTTTGATTGAAAGTTCTTCAGACATATTATCTAAACATTTTTAAAAGTAACTTTGAAGTTACAGTACTAAAAGTAGCAAAAATGCTCTACTGTCATCCCCATAAATGAGGAAATAACTTAGGGTTCGTTTGATATGAGAGTTTAAACTATGGTGATTTTAATTTTGATTTTGGAACCAGAACTGTGATTCATGATATTGAGTACAAATCATGGTTTTAAAAGTAGAACCAAAATCAGGGGTTTGAACCACCCAAAACCAGTGGGTGGTTTTAGAATCATGGGTGATTCATGGTTTAAAACATCACATCAGGGTTAAAACCTTGAATCAGAACTATTCTGACAAAACACTGATTCTGAGTGAGTCAAATCAAAATCACTTTTTACTTTTTATAAACAAACACTGGTTTTGAACCATAATCATGATTTCGGGTTCAAAACCCTTACACTAAACAACACCTTATTCAAGCAATATTCAATTTAGGAGAAAAAAGTAAATAACTTGACCAAGTTACACGTGCAATTCGAAGTATTTATACAAAATGACACTTTAATACTCCATATTTAGAATTTATCTTTAATTTAACAACTTATGAATCTGTCTATTTTATTATTAGTAAGATAATATTATTTTAAATATATCCTTTTGTGTGGTTGGTTATAGTAGTTATTAAAGAACATAAATGTCATTGCGGGTATTTTTACAAACTTTGTGCTATGGGAGAAAGAGAGAAATAGGTTAAGACTTGAGATGAATTAAAATTAATAGGCTAATAGTTTACATAAGTTAATAAACATGCCAAATTACCGTTTTTATCCATAACTTGTCTGGTTATGAACCATAACTTGACAAGTTATTTTCTATAATTTATCTGGTTATAAACCCTAACTTGATAAGTTTGTCCATAACTTAATAAATTTATCCATAACTTATCTGATTATAAATTATAACTTGACAAATTATGACATATTAATTTTTATAACTAAAAATTAACCTATATACTTTCTTAAGCTTTTCAAATGGACCTATTTCCTACTATTTACCTTTATTTTTTCAACTAACATGGGTAGGAAAAGCCCACATCCATCTTCCAACCGATCCCAGGCCAGCAAAGAAATTAGCCCATAAGAGGCCCATCATCACCAGAGAGAAACAAAATTTAAGTAAAATACAACTAACCTCTAAAAAATGAATGGGAATTCATGTTCTCTGAAGATCTTTCTAGAAGCAGACCAGTATCTCCCTTAGACGCCTCTAGGACACTTTGACCACCTTCTCTCTTCCCCCACCCCAACAAAAAGCAACAGTACACCCACATTTTAAAATAGTTTTTCAAAAATTAAATACAAAATAAACAAAACAAAAACAAAAATAAAAATAAAAATAAAACTAGAAAATTCCACACAAATCCCCCTCGGTGCGTTCTCATCTTTGGCCCTAAATAAAAAGGTCACCCTTCGCCTCCTCGTGCTGCCCTTGTTTTCCTCGTAAAAGCCTGTGTAGAGAATTCCAGAACCTCAAAACCCCTCTCTCTCTCTCTCTACCTCTTCCTCTGCCTCTCTCTCTTCTCTCTCTCTTCTCTCTCTCTCTCTCTCTCTCTCTCTCTCTCTCTCTCTTCCTGACCTCAGAGTCTGCGTCGATCGGTTCGAAGGTTCGGTCACTAACCCTAGCCTTTGCGTCAGATTCAGATCTCTTTTGATAGATCTGAGAATTTCTGTATGGATTTGGACCTTTTTTTCGCGGCGATTTGCTTGCGTTACTGTTAAATTCGTTTCTGATTCTTCGCTGCTCCTTTTAGATTCTAATTTCGTTTCTTTCGTATTTATAAGCTGCTTGGTTGTGATTTCGTTTGTTTTGGTTGGTTGGTGATTTGAGGTTTTGTTCGTGAGAGAGATCAATGCGTTTCTAATTGTGCGATTACGTTTCTAGTTAGGTTGTAGCTATGGAGGAAGAATCTGTGTGCTTTTTAGCTATGTTTTAATTTACACCTTTTTTCCCTGTATTTTATGGGGCATTGATTTTGATCGGCTTTTATGTTATTTTATATCATACTAACAAAAGCTGCGTATGAAATTATAGCCTACTCTGGCCAAGCTAAAGAAATATTTTCGTGCAAAATTGTGTATTGATTTTCCAGGAATGCTTGCATACACAAATGCTGTATGATACATCTTGATTTGATTGCTCCCGTTATGTTTTCTTCCCTTTAACAGGTAGCAGGTTTAGATAGAAGTTCAATTTTGGCTGAATGTGTGTTGATTTTTTTTTGTTAGTTTGCAGATTAGACTGAGTTTAAAGTTTAGCGAGGATGAGCGTTGTTGGTTTCGATCTCGGCAATGAGAGCTGCATTGTAGCCGTTGCAAGGCAGAGGGGGATTGACGTTGTGCTCAATGATGAGTCCAAGCGTGAAACTCCTGCTGTTGTTTGCTTTGGTGATAAGCAGCGGTTCATTGGGACTGCCGGAGCCGCTTCAACGATGATGAACCCTAAGAATTCGATATCTCAGATAAAGAGGCTCATTGGTCGACAGTTTTCTGATCCGGAGTTGCAAAAGGATCTCAAATCATTGCCTTTTACTGTTACTGAAGGGCCTGATGGCTACCCTTTGATTCATGCTCGTTATCTGGGAGAAGCAAGGACATTTACGCCGACCCAAGTTCTGGGAACGGTGTTTGCAGATCTAAAGGTTATAGCTGAAAAAAATCTGAACGCAGCGGTCGTTGATTGCTGTATTGGTATTCCAGTTTACTTCACTGACCTTCAGAGAAGGGCTGTTTTGGATGCAGCCACAATTGCGGGTTTGCATCCCCTTCGCTTGTTTCATGAAACTACAGCTACTGCCTTGGCCTATGGTATTTATAAGACGGATCTACCAGAAAATGACCAATTGAATGTTGCTTTCGTTGACGTTGGACATGCGAGCATGCAAGTTTGCATTGCTGGATTTAAGAAGGGACAGCTGAAAGTATTGTCTCATTCGTTCGATAGGTCTTTGGGAGGTAGAGATTTTGACGAAGCTCTGTTCCACCACTTTGCTGCAAAAATTAAGGAAGAGTACAAGATTGATGTTTTCCAGAATGCGAGGGCTTCCTTGAGGCTGCGGGCAGCCTGTGAGAAGCTGAAGAAGATTCTTAGTGCTAATCCTGAGGCGCCTTTGAATATAGAGTGCTTAATGGACGATAAGGATGTCCGTGGGTTCATCAAGCGGGATGAATTTGAACAAATTTGTGTTCCTATTTTGGAGCGTGTGAAGAAACCTTTGGAGAAGGCACTTGCTGATGCTGGCCTTTCGATAGAGAATGTTCATATGGTTGAGGTTGTTGGATCAGCTTCTCGTATTCCTGCTATTGTCAAAATTTTGACAGAGTTCTTCAAGAAGGAGCCTAGGCGCACAATGAATTCAAGTGAGTGTGTAGCCAGGGGTTGTGCCTTAGAATGTGCAATTCTTAGTCCAACCTTTAAAGTTCGTGAGTTTCAGGTATATTTTCTTCCCTAGTCAATGTAGTTACTAAATATTGTGCTGTACTGTCAGCTTTTTTGCTTCGCATAACCTGTTTCTACCAGTTGGATGCATGGTGTTTCCAGCTAATGATTACTTAAGCTCTGTATCTGAGTTAAGTTGTGATTTCCTTGTGGCATTATTCTTCTAAAATATCTAATTTGTGGTGTCCAACATTTCGCTTGTAAATCTGAAGGTGAATGAGTGCTTCCCGTTCCCGATTGCTTTGTCATGGAAAGGCTCTGCTCCAGATGCACAGAATGGAGGAGCTGAAAACCAACAAAGTACAGTTGTTTTCCCCAAGGGAAATTCATTACCAAGTGTCAAGGCTCTTACATTTTACCGATTCGGTACATTCTCAGTTGATGTACAGTATGCTGATACTAGTGAATTGCAGGCACCTGCAAAGATCAGCACTTACACGGTATGTTGTCAAAGTATCCTAAATTTTGTGCTCGTGTCCCGACTACTTAGTTAGCTTGGTTAGTGTCTGTGTCGGAGGTCTTACTCTCTTTTACAGTATTAACATATAATGTTCTATGCATGCGCAGATTGGTCCTTTCCAATTCACAGGTCTTACTCTCTTTTACAGTATTAACATATAATGTTCTATGCATGTGCAGATTGGTCCTTTCCAATCCACAAAAAGTGAGCGTTCAAAGCTAAAGGTCAAAGTTCGCTTGAACCTTCATGGGATTGTCTCTGTGGAGTCAGCAACGGTAAGTTATTTAAGTATTTTCTGGAACTAATGATTGCACCGAAGCTAGTGGTTTATGGTTTTGAACTGTATATATTTATTGTGATACTTTATATATTTATGGTGATTCTGATACTTGTTTCAGCTTTTGGAAGAGGAAGAGGTTGAAGTTCCAGTCACAAAGGAGGCACCTAAGGAAGCTAACAAGATGGAGACTGATGAAGCTTCCAGTGATGCTACTCCTCCAAGTTCCACTGATGCCGATGTGAATATGCAAGATGCCAAGGGAGCTGGTGATGCCCCTGCTGCTGAAAATGGTGTTCCCGAGTCTGGAGACAAGCCTGTGCAAATGGAAACAGAACAAAAGGTATATTGTTATTTCTGTGTCAGTGGTTCCTTATTTCTTCCAAAACTTTATCCTGCCTCAGTATCGTTTTTGATGTGCATTAACCTCCATGTAATGTGGCGTTTCAATTGACCATTTTCAATGAGCCCGCTATTTACTTGAACTATGAAGGATTCAATCACCTAATGGAATTGCATTTTCTATGCCGCCGCCGCCACCACCACCACCACCACCATTATTATTTTTTATGTTTTGATCTGATGCACGTTGAATTAATTTGTCTTTCTTTGAAGTATTGAGCATTGTGACGTAGTTTGCTTTTGGCTTTTGTAGAGGGATATTGGTATTTATATATAAATTCCAATTTTCCATTTACTGTCTCGTGCTTATAAAAGAGATGGGAGTTCTTGTTTCTATATTGAATGTTACACACTCTTGATTGTTAAGATTTTTGTGCACTTGTGTCATCTGCTTCCATTATCATGTTGGCAGGAAACTGTCATCAGTAGATTTTTGTATTGGGTATTCAGCCTGTGCTTATGTTTGAGAAGCAAACACTGCTTACTTTGTCACTTGGTTCTTGATACAGCCTGATGCTCCAAAGAAGAAGGTCAAGAAAACAAATATTCCTGTAACAGAGTTGGTTTATGGTGGTCTGACTCCTGCTGACCTGCAAAAAGCAGTAGAAAAGGAATTTGAAATGGCTTTGCAAGACCGAGTAATGGAAGAGACTAAAGACAAGAAGAATGCCGTTGAGGCATATGTTTATGATATGAGAAACAAGGTATGGCTATAAAATTTTATTCAAATAATGATATGGAGGTCAGAAAATTTTCAATAAATTAAATTGGTGATTTCTTAGCAGTCTACTTCATATTTGGCCTCGGCCTAGTCTATTGTTATTTGAAACTAAGGGGTATCTTTGGTGTGTCTCCACCAGCTTAGTGACAAATATGAGGAATTTGTCACCCCTTCAGAGAAGGAAGAATTTTTTGCCAAGCTTCAAGAGGTAGAGGACTGGTTATATGAAGATGGAGAGGATGAAACTAAAGGTGTTTACATTGCGAAGCTTGAGGAGCTAAAGAAGGTACCATCCTTCTCCGTGACCCTGACCCCTCTTATGTCCTCCCCATTCCCCTTGAAAAAAGAGGAAGCATAAACAGTGGGGGATGCTGATTTTTTATTTTTATATTTACATATTTTAGTTACTTGATTGTAACACTAATTGCGATCTGTAAAACTGCAGCAAGGTGACCCCATTGAGGAACGATTCAAGGAGCACATGGAGAGAGGAACTGTGATTGATGAACTTGCTTACTGTATTAATAGTTACAGAGAGGCTGCAATGTCAAACGATGCCAAATTTGATCATATTGATATGTCCGAGAAACAAAAAGTAATGCAAAGAACCTTCTGAACTTCGTTTTCATCTGCTCTAGCCTTCCTGTGAGTACTCAATTGATTTGTCTTCTACCACCTTTTGTGCAGGTCTTGAATGAGTGTGTTGAAGCAGAGGCGTGGTTAAGAGAGAAAAAGCAGCAGCAGGATGGACTCCCAAAATATGCTTCTCCTGTGCTCTTGTCGGCTGATGCAAGGAAGAAGGCAGAAACACTTGACAGGTAACTTAACTGTCCATCCCTTTTGAGAATCTAGAAGTACAGTTGTGTCAATTTTGTTTATCATATGCTCTTAATCTCTGTGTGTGTGTAAATAAGATATCTGACTGGTCTCTACTCGTTTAGTTTATGGGCTCAGTATACCAGTTCCTGCTTAGAAATTGTTATGTGGGAAAGTTAATTAGATTTGCTGCTTTCTCGAGTTGTTCCCAATCGATTTTTTTTTTTTTTTGATTCATCTGTATCTGCTAACAGGTTCTGTAGGCCAATAATGACGAAACCTAAACCTGCACCTGCCAAGCCAGCTACTCCTGAGACACCGCAGACCCCTCCTCCTCAGGGCGGTGAGCAGCAACCTCAGGGTGGTGATGCTAATGCTGGTGCAAACAATGCCAATAGCAGTGCTGAGAATGCAGCGGCTGAATCTGCTGAAGTACCTCCGGCTTGTAGTGAACCAATGGAAACTGACAAACCGGAAGCTGGTCCAACTTCTGTGTAGAGTAGGGCAGCTGCCCTCTTTTGGATTTATGCAGGGAAAGAAATCAGTTTCCCATGTAAACTCGGACACTTTTTTCGTGTTTGAGCCCAAGACACTTTTGGTGGGCTAACAACAGTAAGGGTCTGAGGGATGGCTGGTGAGATGTCAGTCTTGGGTATGTAAAGCCATTTTATGTTGGTGGTTTTTCCAGGTTTTACTTCTATTTAAGTGGGTAACTGGAATCCGGATTTTTTCTTTATAGGAGGGTTTTTAAGAGAGAGTTGTTACTGTTTGATCTCTTTTTTCCTGCTCTGTTGTTGGGGAAAGGAGAGATCGAAATCTTTTCTTTTCAAGCGTCTTTGTGCTGTCGTACTTGGGCTATCATTATATCTGTGATTTATTTTTCGCCGCTTTTTTTCCCCTAGAACCATGAATGTTGATGATTTTGTTAATTTGGTGTTCGGTATAATTTATATTGCTGCGCGGAAATTTTTAGTTTCAATTTGCTGGCAATCGGTAAACTCTATAAACGGTTCTATTATGACGTGAGCCTATATTGAGGAGTTGTTTGGTTGGAGAATTCATATTCTGATTCGAATCATGGTTTGTGATTTGTTATAATATTTTTTTTTATAAAAAATACACATTTTAAAATTATACTCCTGAGAAATTGGGTTAGGTGACGTTTCTGTTTATGGCGCTGTCGTTGCGCACTAGTTAATGCCCTCTGCCAATCCAAAGCTAACTTTGCTTTTTACATTTCCAGGGACAACCATCATTTGGTTTTTTGGTGAGAATTAAGCCTCTTTTGTCAGGTGCAGTTTGACGTGCACTCCAACAAGTGGCGATATTTTATTCCTTGTAATCATTAGATAACGCACATACTGAAAATAGTATCATTTACGAAAAAGAAAAAAAAAAGTGAAAATAGGACCCATGTTCTAATCAGGAGAAAAAAGCGGGACAAAGTATGTAAAAAAAACAAACGTCGCAAAGATGTGAGTTTACATGTCTGGATTCTTCTAGACGACATAATTTCACACTTGAACTTTTGCTGCGGATTTCAGTGCGCGTAAAACGATTTGAGGCTTTTGTAAGAATCATCATTGCATTTTCCGCCATTTGATTGTACAGAGCCTAAGGAAGATAACTCGGCAAGTATCGTGGAACTTAGAGAGGCGATGTTCAAGCAACTTGGTATTCATTGTGCACCTAGCGATATTCATTAACTCGGATAGTAATACAACCTTGTTATTTTCTCTACTATTCTTTATACAAGAATTGCCATTCCATATTATCGATCATCATAACCAAAGTTAATTTGCGCACATTGAGAAAAGACAGCAAAAAGGAACAGGGTAAGTCATAAAATTGATTATCGTACTCTGAATTCTGTTCCGTTTTCTATCCATAATTGGATTTAGTTACAGGTACAACGTCAACCGTCTTATTGCCCTCACAGGATAAGATAGAGGCAAAAGGCCCCCAATGTATTGTACAACTGCAGCTAGCAGCTAATAAGCTATCAAATTACAACTAGAGAAAGATGATAAAGACCTGTATACATCACCCGCTTGCATTCTCGGCAGAGACATCAATCTCCTCATCGACGCCTCGCCGAATCTTTGCAATCTCCGCCTGTGCTCTCTCCATTATCTGCCTCCGCTGTATTTCCAAATCTCTCTGGAAATCCATTCTCATTTTCTCAAGCTCCACCATCTGCTGTCTTTTACTACTCTCTATCTTCTCATATATCTCACTAATTTTATGAATGGAATCAGCAATCAACCTAAAGGAAGACCCCTCATTCCCATCGCCGTTGTCCCTGCCAGACTTTCTTTTCTTGGGTGGAAGCCCGTCCGTATCATCATCATTTCCCTCGGCAGATTCCGAGTTAGCGGGGCTGTCCCTCATCTCATCCAATCCATTTGCACGGTTCAAATATACTCCAGGATTCATGAAAACATATTCTCCCGAGTCCAATCCACAAGACAGACCAGGTTGTTGTTGTGGTGATGACAGCAACAAGTCCATCTTCTTGAAATAAACCCATTTGCTAGTTAAATTGAGTTTCTCCTTCTTATACTTCTTCTTCAAGGTATCCAAACGATTACGGCACTGCGTATCTGTCCTGTCAATCTTTGATACCTCAGATACTTTCTCCGCAACCTCTTGCCATTCTTCAGAGCGAAGACTCTTCTTCCCACGCTGAATAAACCGTTGACCCCAAGCGTCTAACAGAACAAAGGTCTCACGCTCAGTCCAGTCCGTAAGCGAATTTCTGCCACCAAATGACTGTCTTGGAGATGGGCCAGAGGGTTTTGCAGCGGATGATGGACTTGGAGCAGGTATGCGAGGAGCAAACTCATAACTCGAAACCAAACTCTTCAACTTGCGCTTTTTCAGGTGTCTCTCCATATCAACACCCTCACTCCTTCCATTATAATTCTTTTGCTCACCATTATCGTCATCTTCATCCTCGTCCTCATCATCATTGTCGTTCTCATCCTCATCATCATCGTCAACATCATCACCAACGTCTTTCCGAACCACGGCGTAGCCGTTACTTTGACCATTGTTGTTGTTGTTGTTGCCATCTTCTTCCTCGCCCAACTCTTCATCTTCTTCATCATCTTCCTCGTCCTCATCATCGTACTGACTACCAACGGGTCTTGGATATGAACCACCCAGACCCGGCATCTTTTGGCGCAGCGAAGATTCATAACCCTGTTGGTGGTTTACACCATAAGGATTCGGAGGATACCTAGCATCATCTTCCGTGTCATCCATTTACGCACAAATAATGACTACCCTCGAACAACACTCTGAGCTCAAAGCTAAAGCTCTAAAAAATATCAACTTCCTTGTTACAAACTCCCAATCTATCTATTAATTTCCATGGAATAACACGATGAGCACCGAAATTTCCCTTTTGTCAACCAAAATTTGACTTCTAACTCGAAAATTTTTCCCCTCCTACGATCGATTTTCAATTGCAACCAAGATCAACAAGAACCTGAAATCTTTGATTTAATTATCTGAAATTAGAACAGAAACACTCAAATCGAAATTTACCAAACTTTCTATTTCAACTCAAACAACAAAATCAGAAAAAACGAAACCCTTTGTTCTCAAAGTGAAATACTTTTTTGATATTCGAAGAAGATCATCCATCAAACATATAGTAAATTTTCAGGTCAAACAAATTTCTCCTTTTAAACTCAATAAAAGAAACCAATTATTCATTTTCGCAAAAAATCCCCAATTTTGAGTTCAAACAAATCCCTAGAGCGAAACAAATCAAGTCATCTTACCTCCAAGAAACGTTTTTTAAGAGCCTAGAGAAGCAAAATTCCCCCAAAAGTAAATGTCTTCAATTCAATCCCAATTCCAAGCTCTCGAATAAGTTCCAACTCCAAATTTTCTCAGCAATTGAAAAATCAATCCGTTTCTTTTCCCTCTTTCCACGAAACCTGGACAGTGGGAAAAAAGACGAGCAGGCGACGAGTAGCGTTTGGGGATAAAAGACCGACGGCTGCTAACCTACGCCGGAGGTCAAATGGGTTTTGATGTGGGCCCAGGGCCCATGTTCAATGAGCTTGGGCTCGTTTGGCTACTTGTGTGATCTGTTGATTGTTGGGCCTGGGCTCGGAGTTGGCATCCGAACACGCAAAGCCGGTCCCACTAAAACGACAATAGGACCATCGGATTCTCCGACTTTTGATCTTACAATTTTCGTCGACAACCGTTCGATCGGA